GATCACTATGCAATTTTGGGGATACATCTCAGAGGAGCATAGAGAATTGGGTGACATTGCTAGAGCATCTACTCATCGACTTGAAAAGCCTTCTTAGTAAGCACAGCTATAAAAAATGAAAAAAAGAAAAGAATTAATGCTAAGTCCTGATTCATTCTACTAATAAATATTCATCCGTAGATTCATGAACGATTAAGTTCCTATCCATTTCATTAAGACGTGTTTTCAATAAATTTTCCTTTTTAGGTTTAATAATTAATTATCTATGAAAACTTTCGGTATCTATGTTGTTTTAATCAATTGTTTACTACTTTTATGTGAAAGGTAGTTGCAATAACGCAATCCAGAAGACTCTAAAAAACCCTTAGAACCTTTGGTCACAGGGAACTAAGTATTTTAATATCAATTCATAGATAAATTTTGTGGCAGGGAAGTGTGATAAGGTGAGCAATGAAAGACTTTCCACCATAAAAATGCTGCATTGGTATAAGACTCTATAGGGGCAATGGAATGGGGATACATGTTAAAGAGAAAAGGAACACCACCAAATTTCTACTGTTAGGGAAAACCCAATTCACGTGTTTTTAAAAGAGATGAGGGTGGGTATTAAATCACTGTGGTGTTTAGATTCCATCTGATGTATTTTAAAGTGTTGTGGCAGTTTTGTTTTAAAATGTAAATATTTACCAAATGCCAGAAATCATATCCTTTGCATGTTTTAAAACTTATGTAAAAAATACTGTATTAGATGTCAACTTAAAAGTCTGCAAGATGGGGTACGTACTTTTTCAAAACTTATTTTGTGGTGGGTACTTAGAGCAGAAGTCCTTTTGGAACCAGTGTCCTGATGTCTGCTCCCTCCCCTGGACTCCTGCCGCTCTCCTGGAGAGGCGCAGGATGGAAGTCAAGTCAAGTCGGAGACCGCCCTGTTGGTGGTTGCTCCTGGAACCTGGGGGCCTTGTCTGCCCTTCCCACCTGATTCCAGAACCTTGGCCTTTGGGACAGGCCCTAGCTTACTGCACGCCTCCTCCATGCTGAATTAAACTGCCCTTGGTTGGACAGATATTATCCTAAAGGAGTGATAAGGGACAGACTTGGCTACAGGTGCTTTGACCACAGAGACTCCAAACCTCCCACAGGTCAGAGAGGCCAGAGTCACAGAGTCTCTGCTAAGGAGGATGGGTGTGGCCCAGCCAACCCAGCCCACCATACTTGGTCCACACCACCCTTTCTTTTTTTTTTTTTCCTTTTTGTCTTTTTTTGTGACCGGTAACGGGATCGCAACCCCCGGTGTCGCGCCCGCACTGCGCTCAGCCAGTGAGCGGACCGGTCTCTATATGGGATCTGAACCCTTGGCAGTAGCGCCACCACACTCCCAAGCACCGCACTACCGAGTGCGCCACCGGGCCGGCCCCACACCACCCTTTCTGATGCCCACTCGACTTGATCTGAGGGGAGGCCATTTCCAAGAGGTATGGTTTATTTCACAGAGAGCAGAGATGTTTCTAGAGGGGACTGTGAAGCCCAGTCTGAGGAGGGGGTTGGGGGATTAGTTCCAATCACCAAAGGATACTCTGGCTGCTCCTTCCCCACCCCCATACCTTCCTATTCATCCTGCACTGTGTGTCTGGCTGGCCTTAGAGTGGCTGTCCTGGCCGTGTCTACCTCCCCAACTGCCCCTCTGCAAGCCTCCATCTGTGGATAGGCAGAGAGGTTACCCAGGCCTGAAAGCCAGCATCCTTCATGGAGCTCCAGGGGCAGGAGGATGTCTGGGAAGGGGTTGAGGGACAGCCTGGTCAGGGGTGGGGTACAAGTGAGAGCCCCTGGGGTGAAACCAGACAAATTAATCCTCTACTCCCATCTGTGTCCCTTCCCCCTGCTGCAGAGGGCGCCACTGAGCATGGAGGCAGAAGGCAGCAGGGCACAGGGCCAAACCATCCCCTGGCTGCTGGCACTGTGAGTGGGGTGGAGGAGGCCTGTGTCTGCCACTAATTAGCTGTGTGGCTTGGGCTGGTGGTAGCGCCACCACACTCCCAAGCACCGCACTACCGAGTGCGCCACCGGGCCGGCCCCACACCACCCTTTCTGATGCCCACTCGACTTGATCTGAGGGGAGGCCATTTCCAAGAGGTATGGTTTATTTCACAGAGAGCAGAGATGTTTCTAGAGGGGACTGTGAAGCCCAGTCTGAGGAGGGGGTTGGGGGATTAGTTCCAATCACCAAAGGATACTCTGGCTGCTCCTTCCCCACCCCCATACCTTCCTATTCATCCTGCACTGTGTGTCTGGCTGGCCTTAGAGTGGCTGTCCTGGCCGTGTCTACCTCCCCAACTGCCCCTCTGCAAGCCTCCATCTGTGGATAGGCAGAGAGGTTACCCAGGCCTGAAAGCCAGCATCCTTCATGGAGCTCCAGGGGCAGGAGGATGTCTGGGAAGGGGTTGAGGGACAGCCTGGTCAGGGGTGGGGTACAAGTGAGAGCCCCTGGGGTGAAACCAGACAAATTAATCCTCTACTCCCATCTGTGTGCCTTCCCCCTGCTGCAGAGGGCGCCACTGAGCGTGGAGGCAGAAGGCAGCAGGGCACAGGGCCAAACCATCCCCTGGCTGCTGGCACCGTGAGTGGGGTGGAGGAGGCCTGTGTCTGCCACTAATTAGCTGTGTGGCTTGGGCAGGCCCTCCCTTCCCCCTGCTGCAGAGGGCGCCACTGAGCATGGAGGCAGAAGGCAGCAGGGCACAGGGCCAAACCATCCCCTGGCTGCTGGCACTGTGAGTGGGGTGGAGGAGGCCTGTGTCTGCCACTAATTAGCTGTGTGGCTTGGGCAGGCCCTTCCCGCTCTGGGCCTCAGTTTCCTCATCTGCGAATGGGGCTACAGTGAGGGCCAGGTGAGAGAGGCTGGGTGGGCATATGCCTGAAGACATCCGACCTGCTCGACTCAGGAGGTCCCTGTGACCTCCCTCTGCTCCCTCTCCCACTGAGACTTGCGGCCCCAGCTGGCCCTGGGCCCCGGGAGCCCCCTTCCGTGGCTGTGTGCCTCCTTCCTGCCGGCTGCCGGGCTGGCCCCTCCCGCCCTCCTCCTGCCCACTGGGGCTGCACAGCGAGGAGGACCCGGGGGAAGAACACGGAGGAGGATGGGGAGGAGTGGCGGGGAGGTGGGCGACTGACAGGTCACACAGCGGCCGTCTGCTTGATGCTGTGGAAGCTGATCCTCGTGGGCGACGTGGGGATGGACATGGCCCGGGCCACGGGGACTCGGAGGGAGTGATGGTCCTGCCAGCGGTGCCACCTCTTGCGCACGGCTGAGCGCACCTGTGGGGGAGGTCGAGGCTCAGCCCGCAGCCAGAGCCAATCTTGGGCCTCTGGAACGTAGGGCTCCCAGCTCCCTTCCTCGAAGGGCTGGGGAGAGAGTCCAGGGGGACCCTCCCAAAGGCCACTCACATACCAAGGGGCTGGCTGGTTTCAAAACCGAGGCCTTTCCCCTGACCTTATCGCCTCCTCTCTGCAGCCTGTCTCCAGGGGCCCCTCCTCCTCACCCCTCTCCTGCAGAAGCCTGACCCCCACGCTTCCTTTGTTCCACATTATCCACCACCCTCCTCCCCCAAAATATCCAGTTTCCTTTGGGCACAGTGCCTCGGGCACTTGAGTTTAGCCTCCCGGGGCCAGAGAAGCCAGCTTCTGGAATCCACCCTCCCGCCCTCTCAGGCCCTGCTCCAGTGGGGCATTGCAGGTGTGAGTCCAGCACACGCCCCCCAGCTTGCTCCCTTCTCCCGGGAAAGACCTATCCTCCCTCTCTGCAGCCCTCCCTCCTCTGCCTCCTCCTGACCTGCCTCCTTCCCACAGCACCCCTGCCAAGCAGGGGAAGCTGACAGTTGTATTCATTTCCAGGCCTGGTTGGGTCTGGTGCCATTTGGTTCTCGTTTGTGTTGTAATTGAGTTTTTCTGTAAAATGGATCCTGCCCCTGCATCCTGGCCCAGCACACGGTTTGAACAGAATAAATGCTCCATAAACATTCATTACCTGTCTGTCTTAGTGGCTGCCACTATCCCTACCCTGCTGCCCACAGAACCAGTCTCCACTGCTGGATTCTGCATCTGGATGTGCTTCAGTTGACAAGACCCAGGCCTGCATAGGCACCACCTGTGCAGACCCACGGTGGCCCCAGGTGGGCACTGGCATTCCTCTGGAGCTTGTAGAAGCCCTTAGGCCTTGGCGGCTTTGTCTGCTCCGTGTCCTCCCACCCCTGCCCGAGTGCACACTTCAGCCAGCCTTCACTGGCCACCTCACTCCCCAGAGCCTGCCTGGCGTTGTTGTCTTTACTGTGGTGGGAAAAATGAATGTGCTGGTGTCTTTTCTGCTCCCTAAGTCCATAAACACCTGATGGCATGGCAAACCCCTCACCTCTTTCTGGAAGCTTCCTCCTGTCACCACCTCTGTTCTGGGTCCTCTCTTCCGTCAGGCCTTGCAGCCTGGATCCCCTGTGCACCCAGCTCTCCGAGGGCATGTGCGGAGTGCTGCATATTATTTCTGGCCTTCACAGTTGACCTTCTAAACTGGCTCCAGTCCCCAAAGGTAGATTCCTGTTCCCCTAAGGCTGAGGCGGTTTCTCAGGCCTTCCCCTCCCCTCTCCAGGGCAGAGCTGACAGAGCCAAGGACCTCGGCACTCCTGAAGGGTTAGGTGGCTTGACTGGCACTGCCCTGGAATGGGGTCTGAGGACCCTGAGAACCCAGGCCACCCTGAGGGCCCGGCCTCCTACCTCTCCGTTGAAGAAGCAGTAGAAGACAGACACAAAGAAACCCTAGAAAGGAAGGAGGGAGCAGTCAGTGGCCTGCGTGGGGAGTCACTCTGCCTGGAGGGGTGAGCGGGAGACAGGATGGCTGGGAGAATATGACCCAGGATCCCAGGGGGTCAGAGCTGGGTGGGCCTCAGAACTCATGGCTGCAGCCCTCAAGGTGAGGTGTACCAGGGTCCACTCCGAGTGAGAGGTGGTCTCAGGCCTATAGCCAGGACTCCAGCCTCCTAAATACCATGTGACCTGTGCCCTGAGTCCTCAGAAGAGGTGCTGGGACATCTGAGCCCTGGGGTGGGGGTGACAGGGGCAGGGCTCAGGCCAGGGCAGCCTGGGCAGTGTCTGGGGCCAGCCCTAGGCTGACAGTGTGCACACGCTTACATCTCAGTATGTACGTCACTGAAGCGCGTGGGCGCCAGTCCTGTGTGCTCGTCGTAGTGAGGACATGGCTGCCTGAGCACAGCAGGCCAGGAAAGCTCACAGTGGGGGCCCCACCTGGAACGACTGCAGGAAGGAGTTGAAGTAGATGAACACGATCTGCGACAGGTCGTCCTCCCCAGGGTTGACGAAGAAGAGCATGTAGGTGATGCCCAGGAGGGGCAGGAGGACCAGGGTGGCCTTCACTGCCTTCCTGGGGGTGACAGGGGGGACACAGGTCCAAGCCCTGTTGCAGGCAGGATCTCACTCGCTGGGATATTGGGGTACACTTTGGGATGTTTCTTCTGGGAGCTCGAGTAAGGACTTCGAGGGCTCTGACTGGCGGCAGGAGGATGGCCCAGATAACCTCATTTCTCCCCTGCCGAGGATCAAGGCACCCATTCACGTACCTGTACTGGATCGTCTCAGACGTAGTGGATGCTCGTAATTTTGTCATTAGGATCCTGACGATGTTGAACAGAAATACGAAGTTGATCTGGATGGAAGAAGGCAGAGAGGGACACAGGAAGGACCATGAGCTGGGGGTGAGCTGAGAGGAAGCTGCACCCCCTCCCCGGCCGTGACCCCCTGGAATCCTCATCCCATGCACACCCCATCCCACCCCCAGTCACCCCAGCACCTGCAGGAGTCCCATGGCCTCTGCTCCTCCCTTACCAGGGCAGGGAGACACCCCCATTTGCTGCAGGCCTGGCTTCTCACCCTCGGAAGCCCACTTCTCACAAAGCCCCTGCCCCTCCCTGCTCAGGGACCCTCCCCTGCTCCCACAGGCCCCACTTGTTGACTGAGGCTCTCTGAGGCCGTCGCACTGTCGTGGGCCTGAGGTCCCTTTGACTGAGGACAGCCCTGCCCTGGCTGCGTGGATCAGGCAGATGGAGTGATTAATAACTCAGTTGCTGAATGGTGATTAATCTCTCACCCTCCTGCCCCTGTGCCCTGGAACTGGGAGCCTTCGCAGATGCCCTGATGTGAAGGAGATGGATGGGCGGCAGAGCTGGCCCCAAAGCTCGGGAAGGGCCTCATCTGTCTTCATTCTGAGCCTCCCCAGCTTCAGGGCCACACCGCCCGGCCTCTGCCCCAGAACTGCCAAGGGCTCCTGACCAGTAGCCTGTGGGCTGTGGCTCTCTGGCCTGCCTCTTGTCCCTGGGATGGTGTGCTGTCACTCTGCCCATGCATGTCACACACATGTTTGTGTGTGAGTGTGTATGCGAGGACATGGCGTGCCTGGGTCTCTTCAACTGCCTCCAAGTGCAAGCCCGAGGGATGGGAGTGTGTGTCGCCCAACACATGGGAACTGCTTCAGAAGAAAGTGCTCGCAGGACAGAGAGAGATACACGTCAGCCCAGGGACATCTGCTGGCTCACATGCACGCACACACACCACTCTGGGTCTGTCTAGAAAATCCATTGCTTCTTAAGCTTGGCCTAGGCCCTTCTATCCCTCCTAAGTTCCAGATCCCAGGCTGGGATGGGGGAGGACACAGGCAGATGTTATGTGACTGTCAACCCTGTAGCCTCTGGATACCCCCAAGCTTGAGGTGGCTCTGGGGGCAGAGGGGGCTCCGACTCCTCCTGAGGCATAGCCTGTGGCTCTTGCACCACACAGAGGTGTGGCCAGAACCCAGGGTCAGGGTGGGGTAGGAAGCCTCTAGAGAGGGCTGCCCATGGCCCCTGTTTCCTCTTAAAGCTCGTGTCATTTCTAGCCCCTGGGTTTCTGGCTTATTTCCTTGGGTTATGGAGCACAGGTCACCTTAACACATAGGTCAATATTAATTTTCTTATACAGGTAATACAAAGTATTTGACCTTTTCTGGTTCTTCCTGACTTCTCTGAGAGTACAGACTGTTGGAATCAAAATATATTCTCATTTTTGCCCAGTTTCCTTGCATTAAATATTATTCACCCAGCATCCATCAATCCACTAATCAATTCATTCAATTATCCATCCACTCTTTGATCCACCCACCACCCAGCCACCTGCCCACCAACCAGTTCATTCAGTTTTCCATCCACTCTTTTATGTATGCATGCATCCACCCACCCAACCACCCACCCACAAGTGGTTACTGAGCACCCCTTGGCTATAGGGCCCTGCTCCTGTGCTGAGGCAAGGGCAGGGATAAGTCTTGTGTGAGCATCTGGGAGACCAGGCCTGTCCCCTGTCCTCACACTAGGCAGGCATTTAGGGATGCTGCCCCCACCCCATCTCCTCCTGAGTCCAGCAGCGTGAAAGTCACTCTGTCCTTCTGAGCTTGTTTCCAGCATCCCCCTTTGCAGTGTCTGTGCCAGCCCCACCATGGGAACTTCCTTTCTCTCCAGGGAGCCTTATGACCCCCAATCCACACCGAGCTCTCCAGCATTCCATCCTTGGACTGTCCTTCCTTGCTCCCTGCCAAAAACACCCAGCTCTGCAGTGAGCAATGGCTATGGCTCCTTAACCTTGTCCTGCCTGGTTTTGGACAGGCAGATATGGCCCTGCTTGCAGAGGGCTTGCGGCCTAGCTGGGGAAGGGGGATTGCATCTTTCCTAAGGGGTCAAAAAGGCCTGGAAAACTGGCCCGTGAGCTGAGAACTGAAGCAGGCGGCATTAGCAGTGCAGGTGGGGACAGCGTTCCAGGCTGAGGGAGAATGCCCAGGGTGGGAGGGGATAGACCCAGTGGCAGTCAGTGTGCTTGAGGGCGATGCTGAGGGAGGCAAGAGACTAATCAAGGATGCATTAGCAGTGCAGGTGGGGACAGCGTTCCAGGCTGAGGGAGAATGCCCAGGGTGGGAGAGGATAGACCCAGTGGCAGTCAGTGTGCTTGAGGGCGATGCTGAGGGAGGCAAGAGACTAATCCAGGGAGATAGGGGACCAACTGGGAGTCAAACGGTAAAGCCCAGTTCCTCCTGCAACAAGCCCTTGCAGAGCCTGCCCACCAAACCCAGAATGTTCTTAGGGCAGCCTGCATGAGGTGGGCCCTGGACTGCTGCAGAGGAGAGGGTGTGGGGTGCCAGGGAGAGGCCAGACCCTCTGGAGAAGCCTCTTCTCAGAAGCCCAGCGCTGCATCAGCCCGTCCCCTCTCCTGATCCTCTGAAGCTGACATCTGAGCTCCACAGGGGAGCGAGCTTCACCCAAATGAGGCTTTGTGGGGGTGGGTGCCCGAACCTGGTCAGAATCTGGGTCTGGCAGGTGGTGGTGGGCATTAGGTCGCATTGTGATCATCTGATTTGGGGTCTGGACATTACAGTCCCTACCACCCTGTGCCAGGACAGGTGTGCGGAGTCCTAGGGCTCACTAATGTGGATACCAGAGTCCTGTGGCAATGCGGGCAATCACATGGTGAGGACTGGGCAAGAACCAGAGTCCTGTGGCAATGCGGGCAATCACATGGTGAGGACTGGGCAAGAACCAGAGTCCTGTGGCAATGCGGGCAATCACATGGTGAGGACTGGGCAAGAACCAGAGTCCTGTGGCAATGCGGGCAATCACATGGTGAGGACTGGGCAAGAACCAGAGTCCTGTGGCAATGCGGGCAATCACATGGTGAGGACTGGGCAAGAACCAGAGTCCTGTGGCAATGCGGGCAATCACATGGTGAGGACTGGGCAAGAACCAGAGTCCTGTGGCAATGCGGGCAATCACATGGTGAGGACTGGGCAAGAACCAGAGTCCTGTGGCAATGCGGGCAATCACATGGTGAGGACTGGGCAAGAACCAGAGTCCTGTGGCAATGCGGGCAATCACATGGTGAGGACTGGGCAAGAACGTGTGGACTGCTGGCTTTATAAGGTGTGCAAGCAAGCATGTTAAGAATTGTTCTTGCCCAGTCCTCACCATGTGATTGCCCGCATTGCCACAGGACTCTGGAGAGAGTCCCCACCAAGATGAAGGCCCCTTGAACTTCCCAGCCTCCAAAACTGTAAGAAATTAATTTTGTTTTCTTATAAATTACCCAGTTTCAGGTATTCTGTTATGAGCCACAGAAAACTGACTCACTCAGGATCACACCACGCATCCCAGGGATTCCAGCCACTGCTTGCTCCACGATGTCACACAGCACATCCCCAGCTTAACCTCCAGTGCATGACCACCCTGAGACATCCCTCTACCCCTGCTGGAGGGAAACAGCACTTGCTAAATCATGGTGCTCACGGGAGCCCCTCTTTGTCCCCAGACCTTTACTGGCAGGCCTTGCCTGCCTAGAAAATGCCAACAGGAGGGAAAATAGGAGTGTCCAGTGAGGACCAGTCCCCCAGATGTTGCAGAACAGATGGTCACCAGGCTGCTGGGACATCCCAATCCCATCTGTGGGGCTCCCTGATGAGAATCACCAGGCTCCACAGACCCTGGTGGGACAGGCAGGCCATGTCACTTGGTCCAGTGAATGTGCGGTGCAGGGAGTTGAGAGCTGGGGAGGACAGAGGAGAAGGGCCTGGGTAAGCCTGCTCAGCACCAGAGCGGGGAGTGCAGAGGACACGCCCAAGGACCAGGACTGTGCTCCCAACCTGGGTTGAAAGAGAGGAGGAGCGTAATAACTTCGTATAGCATACATTATACGAAGTTATCGAAATAAAAGAGCTAAGCAGTGAAAGACAAAAGATAGCCTCATTAGGCACCTGCCGTGTGCAAGAGGAGCACTTTCTCTGCATTTCCTGAAGTAGCGTGGCCCTTTAAGGAAGCTGGTACATACAGGAGCCTGAAATTACGAGCTTGAAATAAGTCTTACGTAAATGCCAATTTCTTACGGGGCGGCTTTTTTGTATGTCTCTCTCTTTTTAAATGCATGATATATAATGGGCTCTTTTTGCAGAATGCAGCCTCGATGTAAACTTTGTCAATTAAAGCTCGTTGCGGATTAAGGACATGGCAGCAATTATACCTTGGATGTGAATACAGTTGGCAGAGGGCGGGGAGCTGGGCAAGGAACAATTGCTCATTATGCTTCATTCTGGTATCCACACTGCAGGCTGGGGGCGGTGGGCTGGGCCCCAGAGGGGGTCGCTGGGGGCAGGTGGGTGGGGGAATGTAGATCTGGGCTGAACAGAAGCCTGCACACTCTTCTCTTGCCATCAGCTGCCTGCTCTCCCAGCTGTCTCAGCACCGTACCTAATAAGGGGACATCAGACCCAGGAGGGCACTAGAAAGCCACCAGTCAGAACTTTCTCCAGCCAGAGAAAGAACCTGGGGTGCAGGGTGGCTCAGGGCTGCAGCAGGGCACAGAGCGTGAGGAAGGGTGATCAGGAGGTGCCGGGAAGTGGGTGGCGCATGCAGGGTGGCATACACAGCGGGTGCAGAGGGCTGCCCATGCCACATCCTTCCCAGCGTCTCTGCCTGGGTGGGTCCTCTGCTGTCCTCCCAGTGTCCCAGCCTCCTCCCAGTCCCCACTGAGGACCTACCACGAGCACAAGGATGATGGGGCCCTGGTAGATGTAGTCCACCAGGTCGCCGGGTTCCTTGCCAAACCAGCACCTGCAAACATGGGGTGGCTGTTGGTGACCTGCTGAGCTGGAGCCCAGGGACCAACCCAGGCTTGGGCCCAGGGTCCTCCAACTTGATCCTTCCCGAGGCCCTATCTCCAGGCTACTCCTTCCCAGAAAGACTTGGGGCCAGCCCCAGCCCCACTGACAGCCGTGGCCCACCCCTGGACTGCCTTTTGCTTTACCTGGTGGGTCTGGTCTCCCTAGCTAGACTGAGGGCAGGCTCTGGTCTCCTCCTCTTCTTCCTTGAACCCCGACCCCATCACAGACTGCTGGGCAGAGGGCTGGGCACACAGGGGGCATGGGGATACAGGGAGAACTGGGCTTTCTCTCGCTAGCCCAGGGCCCAGCTGTCCTGTGCCACCAGTCCCCACATTGCTGGGTACCTGCTGCTCCACCTGCCAGGCACTTGGCTGCACAAAGCAGCAGATGTGGAGGTGGAGCCCTCTCCTGCCCAAGCTCCGTCTCTCTGTCTTTGAGCTCACACACCCAGCAAAGGGAGCCTGCTGCCTGGCTGGCCTTGTGGCTGCCAGGGACTTGGTTTATGCTCTGGGAATGCTGCTCAGGGGAGAAGCTTTAGGGTCTTGAGGAAGGGCTGGGCCAGGACCCAGTCTGGCTCTGCCAGCAACTCCTGGACCGTGGGGAGGGACCATTGCCTTCTGGAAACTCTGTGTCTTCTGAAATCTTAGAGGTCGTCTAGTGCCTACCTGCCTCTGCTGCAACAGGAATCTCCTCTGCTTCCTTCCAGCACCAGGCGTTCTGGTCTCTGCTTGAACACCCCCTTTGACAGTAAGCTCACTACCTACCGAGGATCCCTCTTATTGAGTAGCTTTTACCTTTCTAATGTTGAGCTCCCGAAACTCCACCCCGTTCTTGCCATGGCCCCCCATATCCCATCTGCTCCTTCAGCCTCTGAGACCCCTTGGGGATTTGCACACAGAGGCTGATGTTCCCCAGTCCCCTCCTCTCTCAGCTGCTGGCACCTGACTTCCTGGCTGCTCTTGGCTGGCCCATGGCCAGAGTTGCTGTCATCTGGGCCGTGGCTCAGCCTATCAAAGTCTCTGGTGCAGGGAGAACCCCAGGATGGGACACTGCACCCAGGCAGAGACTGGGATGTCAGAAAAAACGAGCTGTCACCAGACTCTGTTAAATGCTCATTGACACAGCCTTGGATTTAGGCTGGACTGAAAGCCTGAGACCGTGGTCTCCTCCACATGCCCCAGGCCAGACCTGCCATACCCAACTCAGAATGAGACCTTGCCAAAGACCAGAGGGGTCAGGCAGATGGGGCCCTTAAGGGAATCATGATTCCTAATTGAATTCAACAAACAAAGTTGCTTTGAGACCCACGACGTGAGCAACTCTGGGTGTGTTTTTCAGTTTAAGGACAACAGGAAAGAGAATCTGTCCAGGCATGGCTACAGTACTTGCCCATTGCTTGGGCAGAACCCAAGGCTGATGTGACCCCACCTGATGACCCCCATGGCTGGCCTGTCCCACTTACTGCTCATTCTCATAGTAGAGTTTGCCAATGGCCCAGGCGATGATGATGGGGCAGGGGACACCTGAAAGAGGAATAGACACAGGCTGCAGTGGATAGACGGATGGATGGGGACCCTCTTGTAGAACACAGGGTGGGGGGACCACAGGAGCCTGGGATCATGTTTCTGCTCTTCCAACTGCAGGTCATCCATGACTCCAGGGTGCCCTGTCCCTAGACTCGTGCCCCCCACTCGCCCACTCTGCCCCACCTCAGCCATCTCTCAAGCAGGGGATGGTGTGATTTTCTGAGATTCTGTGATAGAGAAACAGAGCCAGCCAGTCACTCTTCTGAAGCCAGAGACAAAGGTCTTCGGATTGGTCAGTGTGGGCGGGGGAGGGGGGCTGTTAGTGGAACATCCTTTGGGGGGATTCTTTGCTTTCTCCTCACTGACATGGAGGGAGACTGAGTCCTTGGGGACTGTGCTGGGGATGGCAGGCAGGAAAGGGAGAGGACTTTGTGGGCAGCCCCCTCCCCTGCCTGGCCCCACGGTTCCCCCGGGACCCTCACACCATCCGATGAAGAGGAAGAGCCACTTGCGTAGGCGCTCGGTGGAGTAGGTCATGACGATGGCCGTGTGCAGGTAGCAGCCCTCGACGAACATCCAGAAGAAGTTGGTGACCACGAAGTAGTTGAAGACGGTGGTGACGCAGCGGCACCAGACCTGTGCGGGCCAGGGCGTCACTGTGGGCGGTGGGCCCTTCCTGTCCCTGGAGGCAGCGCGACACGGGGAGCGCATCGACCCTACCCTGAGAAGGTTCACCTTTCACCAATTCTGTTTCACTCTCTGGGATTAAGTTAAGGAGCCATTTCCCACTGGTACCAGGGTGTTTTTAACTTCTCTCCAACTCTTTTTTAATAAAGAAAGAGGGAGTTGGGCTCTGAGCTTCTGTGGGCAGGGATGGAACTTAGCAACACCGCTGTGGTTTCGTTGTAATTTTTTTGTCACCTTCAATCCATAGCAAGTCAGCCAATAAAGAAAGAGGGAGTTGGGCTCTGAGCTTCTGTGGGCAGGGATGGAACTTAAGCAACACCGCTGTGGTTTCGTTGTAATTTTTTTGTCACCTTCAATCCATAGCAAGTCAGCCTGGCTTCCATTGAGGGATGGAATATGAGATTTCATTTAGAAAAAGTGGAAGAAAGTGAGCCCTGGGTAAATGAAGGTGGGGCTGCAGCCACAGAGGTGATTCTCCAAAGACCGTAGGTTTGGGGACTACTGGACCTGGTGTGATTGTCACTGGCTGCGGAGGGGGACTCACTGACTGTGGGGCTCCTGGGAAGTTGCTATCCCTCTCTGAGCCTCATTGTGACTGATGCTGCCCTATAGGTGGTAAGAGGAGATGGAGGATGGCAAAGGCAGGTACCACGAAACATGGCTTATGGTTGTGGCTGCTGAGGTTATTTGCCTTCCCAGCAGAGGGGAAATTGTCCCTGTCCCTCTGAGCAAGGCTACTGTCCCTTGCGCCTTGCCTGGGATGCAGGGAGAGAAGGAGCCTGCCCAGACCACACGTGGGCCATGGCACAGCCAGAGTCCAGGCCTCCAGCCCCTAGACCGGAGCTCCTCTCAACAGACCCTACCTGGTCATCTTTCCATGGGGTCACCCCCAGGGCACCCTGAGAACCGAGGCTGGGACACAGGGAAGGGTAGAGGCAGCAGCCTCTGTCCTGAGCCCGCTGGGGTCCAGGGATCCCTGTAAGCTTTCTCTGACAGCCCTGGCTCTCTGATAATCCTCCTGAGATGAACTGCTAGCTGCTCTGAGGCTTCCCCCAGGGTCCCATTCCTGACCTGGGGCCCCACGTGGCTGGCTGTCTCCCTTGTTCCAAGAAAGCCCAGCTGAGGTGGGATGCTAAAGACCCCCTCCTAGGCCTGCTTGTTTTACAAATTAAGCAATGTCTTATTAGTGCAAGCCAATACTAGAGCTGGAAGGCACCCAAAACTTGACTGAACTTGTTTGGTACTGAGGCAGGGTTCAATGTGGGGCCAAGTTAGAGGTCAAACCAGGCTGGGTGTCTGCCCAGGTACAGGCCACCCAAAGAAGATGTATTGGGAAATCTCTAATGGTGTGTCCCTTGCTAGTCTACAGTTTTACAATGACTTGGACATGGTATAGCTGCAGTAGACACAAGTCCAGAATGGACAGCTAACATGTGGGGTGGTCCGTGATGTAGAAGCACCATCACAGCATGTGACCTCGGTGAGTCACTTAACCTCTCTGAGCCTCAGTTTTTACATCTGCGTTACGGAGAAAATAATCCCTCCTGGCCTCTTGCCGGGATTATGTGAGATAAAGTTCAGAAGAGGTTAGCCCCAGCCTCCTTTATTCTAATGGGTCTTTAGGGAGACCTGGATTCACAAGATGTGGGGTGGAACAGGATAAACCAAAATCTGGTGTCAGGTTTATGCCGCTCCCAAGACCCCAGCCTGGCAGCCCTGCCCCTCCTGGCTATGGGACAGTGACTGGGCGGGGCAGGGGGGAGGTAAATTTAGGCCTCGTTTTGCACCTGAGTATTGGGCAGAGAGGTGGGTGGACCCGGATCCCAGAGCCCCCCAGGCCCCAGCCCTGGGTCTCCTGAGCAGTGACCTCATTGTTCTCGTGAACTTCGTGGTCGATGAGTTGCAGCAGGAACCACATGACATTTCGCAGAATAAAGGTGGTGATGAGGTTCCAGTGGATCACGTTCCGCAGACAGCGGATGCTCCTGTGGGAGGCCCAGGTCAGAGGTCAGAGGGGCCAGAGGTCAGCTGGGACAGTCTCCACCTAGGGTGAGGGCTCAGCTAGGGCTGGTGTTAGGGGTCAGCTGGGTTAGGGGTCAGTTGGGACTGGATTCCTCCTGAGGCTGGGTAGAGACTCAGCCTGGGGTAAGGGCTGCACTGGGAGCCAAATCCCACCCATGGTGGCCCAGCTCCCCTTCTGCACCCCACATGCCCACAGCTGGTCAGTGCCCTGGCACCCAGCAAAACCCCCGTGCCCACCGGCTCCTGGGTTCCCAGAGGAGAGGTGAGAATGTCTGGGAGAGCTGAAGGGGCTGCTGTGGGAGGAGGGACAGGAGAAAGTGGGGCAGGAGGGTGGACTCACCGCAGGGCCAGGAAAAGCAGAAAGGCGGCCACCAGGGCTGCCACAGACACACAGTGGCCCAAGTAGTTGACAATGAGGGCAAAGCGGTAGTGCAGGTCATACTTCCTCTGCTGGATAGACAGACAGACATGGGCAGATGGAGGCATGGGCAGGTGGGGGTGAGGTTGGGCACTCCAGCCATGTCCACATCTGTGTATCCTGACCTTGGGGCAGAAGTGGCTCCAAATGTCATGTCCAGGTGGCTCCTAGGGCTTGATCCTGTTGGCCCTGGATGGCTTTAGTTATTATAAATGGCTGTGGTCAGGCCTCTCAATAAGCAGTTTGAGGGACACATTTGGACATGGTCTATTCTGAGATATGCCAGAGTTGTGGGTACAGAGTTTTAAAAAAATTCTAGACGCTATAATGCCACCCCTAGGTTTAGTCTCAGCTCAGAACCCAGCTGGCTGAGCAACTGAGGGTGAGTTGGTGTGCATGTCTGGGTCTCGTTCTTGACATCTGTGTAATGGGAAGCAGCTGCCCTCCTGCTTCAGAAGCAGTGACCGAGGGAGGTCTGGGGGTGCACTGGGATCGGTCTGTGCTGGGCACCATAATGAGGGATGCACTGGCTGTAGAGAATTTAGGAATACTACGATCCAAACTGAGTAAAAGTCAGTCTATGCAATTCTAAACAAAGTCAGTGATAAAATACCCCTTCCTGCCAGGGTGGGCCACCCTCCTATCCCCCACTTTGATTTGCCACTGCTGGAGGGGCTGTAAGAGTGGATGAGTGAGGGCAGCAGGCTGGAGGGAGCCCCTTTCTCTCCAAATCCCATGACCCATCCTGCCTGCCCCTCTGTGGCCCTCACTGCAGAACTCTGCTAGCTTGCATTCTGTAGTATCACTTTCTCAGGGTAGGCAGATATTTTTCCCTCTGAACTTGGACTTCATTTAGGGAAAAGTCCCACTGGGGACTGTGTTGGGCAAATGAAGAGGAGAATGGAGCCAGGATGAATCATTTTGAGTCAGGAATGAGGCACAGCTTCATAGGGGAAGGGAGCTGGCACCTCGGGCTGCGCAGAAGCCAGTTCCAGAGTGAGAGCCAGAGCAGGGCTGGGGAGGTCTGAGCAGGACCCAGCTTCCCATGGAGCTACAGAATCAGAATGCCAGATGGGGAAACTGAGGCGCAGAGGAGGAGAATGCGCGGTCATACAGCCTATCAGATGTTGGGGAGCACTGGCTACACGGCCATTCTCTTTCTGTGTTACATGCCACCTTGCCTGTGTCCTTCACTAGCCCAAGCTCTCCTGAAGGTGGGACTCCATAGCCTTTTTCTCTGACCCTGCCACAGTGTCACTGCACACAGGGCAGGACATTAGAGGCAGGGGTAAGAGGTGCAGAAAGGAGTAGTCAGGTGATGCAAGATCTGGTTCTGCCACCCCTGGGGTCCTCTGTGCTCAGCCTGTCTCCTAACAACTGAGTGAGAACCAGGGTTGGGGCAGGTAGGGGCCACTCACCTTGTCATCCAAAATAGGCTCACACTGTGAGTAATTGACCCTTGAAGCCCACATCCCATTCTCCAAGCATTGTCGGTAGGCGTTCCCTGCAAAAGATGCCACCACCAAGAGTCAGGTCACTCCCCTCCTCAACAACCCTCTCTAGCTGCCTGGTGCCCACAGAATAAGGTCCATAATCCTCAGCTCCCCTGGGCCGGGACACAACACGGGTCTGAAAGTTTACAGGAAAGCCATTTATGTGAAAATAGCACAAAAGTCTCATCTTGCATAGCAGCTAAAAGGCAGGCTAAAACCCATTTTAGATACAATCTTTGACTAGCATTTTCTTTCATTTTGTTCCTTTGCTTCAAAACTGAAGCCAGTTGTGAACACTGGGTTGTGGCTGAAGATTCATTACTCTTAGCATGCCAAGTAATTTCCATCCTCATTGCAATCATTTTATATTTACAAAATCCATTCTTCTTCCTCCAGTGTCAGCACTTCGTGCTAATAATAGCTGCCGTTTACATAGCCTGTGTTTCCCATGTAATGGGTCCTCTTCTGACTGCTTTAGATACGCTTGTCCATTCCTTCCTCACAACAATCCTATGATGTTGGTACTAATATTAACCCAATTTACAGAGGAGGAGACTGAGACACAAAGAGAGGAAGCTACTTGCCAAAGATACAAAGATGTCAAGAGGATCCAAACCCAGAAAGTCTGGCTTCAAGTTTTACGTGCTTAACCTCTAGGCTATTGAGGAGTGGTAAATAGGCATGATGGATATTTGGGGACACAGGGCTGTGCTGCTGTTCTTGAGCTGCTGCTGCCTGGAAGACCACTATATGAAGTCTCTAAGTGTTTGAGAAGTGGCCTCTGTATTAAAGTTGGAACGTGATGCATAAAAAGACATTTTGGAGCATCAGTGTCTGATGTATGAAAGTGCAGGTTTTGTCAAAGGGGAAAACATGAAGGTTGAAAAGTGCTCATATTTGCCTTTCTCTCAATCCTAGCTCTGCCTGTCAAGGTCTGGTTCTTAAGCCACCCCCTCGAGGTAGCCTACCCTTAACCTCCCACCAGGAGGAAGCCTCCCACCTGAGAACGCCCAAAGCCCTTAGCCTGCCTCTCCTCTGCTTTACAGATTAGTAGGTATCTTATGTCTCCCACTTGATTACAAATTTTGAATGATTGTTTGGGGGTGATTTGTACCAGGGTTCTGCTCTCCGGCTAATGGGCAGCTGTTTGTGGGTTTTTCTTTTTGGCTTATGTTAGATATACAACATAAAGCTAATTAAAATGAATAGCTCACAGAGCACAGAGTCACAGAGCTGGAAGGGGAATCTTAGATTGTTTTTGGAAGCAGTGAGTTCAGAAATAATTAAGTTACTTAAAAATCTGCTTCCGTTGAGCCAACAGTGAGTTAAAAGCAATGGAATTATTAAAGAGCACTTGCTGGAGAGCAAAAACAATGGGGGAGATTTTATTAGCTTAACTGTTTTATAATTTGGTGCTTGGAGCTCATAGATTTTTCAAACTCAGGAATGTTACTGGCCTATTCCTGCCTCCTGGGCCTGTCAGCACGAGGCCCATCTCTCTCTCTCTCTTCTCCTGAGCACCCCCAGTCCTGACTGCCTGCACCCCATACTCCAGCCCTTGCCTCATGACCAGCCTTGAGTTGTCCAGGTGAGTGAGTCTTGTCTCTGATCCATCTACAGGCTCCCTGAGTATCATCTCATTTCCCAAGTAGCATATCTCACAGAGGCACCGACCATGGGGTGGGCTTGCAGATGGAAGGGGGTCAGAAGAGAGATGCTACAAATCGGAGACCTTTCCTGCCCCTCACACCAATGTCCTGGCATCCCAAGTTCTGTGAATTCTGTTTCCTCCTTGGCTTTTCCCAGAATCCATCCCTCCTGCCCATCCCTCCACTGTCTCTTTAGTCCTCTCACCTGGACTGGCAAAACAGCCTCCTCTCTCGACTCCATCCTTCTTACTTTGCCCCCTTGACCTTGTTGATTTCTGCTTAAAAGCCATCACAGCTCTTCATTGCTCTCAAGAATAAAGTCCAGCTTTTTTGGCATGCTATTCAAGGCCCTCGACACCTGGGCTCCAGCCCAAGTTTCCTGACCCATCTCCAGCACTTTGCATGGCAGGTGACGTTTGCACCGAAAGGCCCGTCACACACCAGCTCTGTGCTGATCCATCCCTTGAAGCAGCTCCTCGTGCACTGCCCACAGACGAACTCCTGCTGGTCTTGCAGCCCCCTGCTCAAACACACCTCCTCGATGGAGCCTTCCCCAGCACCCTAGGTCCAAAGCAATCCCTTTCTTTTTCTTCTAAGCACCTCCTCTGTATTTTCCCATCTCCTGGCACATAGCTTTCACACTTTATTGCCCTTGACCCACAATAAAACACACATTTTGTGTCACAACCCAGTAAACACACACACACACACCCCTGAATCCACAGCCAAAAAGCAAAATTCATTTTGACCACAGCTATATTTTTCTTTCTATTTTATTCCAATGTATTCTATTCATTTCATATACAAATTGTGGTCATGACCCACTAAACTGACTCCACGGTTCTCTATTGTGCCACAACCCATAGTGTAAAAACCAAAAATCTATTTTAGAGCATTTGTCATAATTCATTATGGACTTCATCTTTTTGGACCTAAGCCTTATTTTCTTTGCTACTGAACTTGAGCTCTCCTGGGACAGACAAGTAAGCAGAGACCATATTGGAGTCACTGGAGTGACTCCAGTGGCCCTGAGGAGTGAGCCATGAGTACAGGTGGGTTGAACCTTGGAAAGCAGGGGAGGAGGTTCTGGCTACAGACACTGGGGAAAGAGGACTGGAAGACAGAAGCCCTTCAGGAGAGCTGTCCACTGCAGCTAATGAGGGCGCCAAGCCCTCAGGCACAGCCTCGGACAGGAGAGAGTAAGACAGGAAAAGTCCCCTTCAGGAACCACAGGCAGGTGGGCATGCAAAGTCTGAGGGCAGGTGGGCACGCAAAGTCTGAGGGCAGGTGGCCAGGCCAGAATCATGGGGCTGGATGCAGTGAGGTGGGTGCCCGTTACCACAGCAACACAGGTGCCCCTGCCGAGGATCGATGCCACTGGTGTGCGGTGTGGCCTGCCAGGGGCATTAGGGTCTGGATGACCTAATGCAGGCAGGGACTTCTCTTACCAGATCCCTTTGCCCTGGAGAAACCTAGAGTGGCCCTGGCCTGTCAGAAGCCCCCACTGCAATGGGCTCTCCCCCTTTCAGACACTGACACTTTGATAAGAGTTCCTGGGTTCAGGCAGTCACCTGGGGTGGTCCAGAAGCCTGGCTAGCAGATGGGGGCCTATATTCTAGCTGTAGTTTTGTCTCTGGCTGGTTAGGTGACCATGGATAAGTCTCTTTCCTCTTGGCCTCAGTTTTCCTTCTCAAAAAAAGTAATGTAAACTGGTTCCCAATGATGCTATTGGCATCTCAGATGAGTCAACCATTTGTTGTGTGGACTCCCTAATCTACTAAATGTCAGTAGCACCCCCCCAAGTCATTGTGACAACTCCAAATCTTCCTGCATCAATTTCAGATGCTCCCCAGGCTGGCACTTCTATCTCTGATATTCTAACTGGTATCATGGGAGACAGGGACCTTGAGGGACAATTTTTGGTGGTAGAAAGAGTGCAAGAGACAGGTTGGGCATGGGGGAAAGAGTGGGTGAGACTGTGGTAAAGGGCACCAATGTGGTCATTGGATACCTGGAAAAAAAATAACAAGAAGTGAAGGGGAGAAGGTGATGACAGACAGGTGGGGAGGGCCAGAAGCAATATTATTGATGGAATGAGATCACTGCACAGGACATAGAACTTTCAGCACCACGGATAGCAGGACTGCACCGCTCCTAGTCCTTCACCATCTCTGCAGGTGGGGAACCTTGGAGAGCTCCTAAGACCCAGCCTTCCCACTTAGCATTCTGACCATTACCCTGGGGCCAGTCCAAGGAAGTCAAGCTCATTCATGCCCCTCTTCAAGGCCCAGCATCAGCCCCAGATCCTCCAGCTTGTTTCCATGGCTGCTGCAGCTCCCCAAGGGTCCAGATGCTCACTTCTGCCTGGCTCACCCTGAGCTGGGATTGTTCTCTCACTGATTCCTGCAAAGGGGTCATGCTTTTCCAACCAGCCCAGGGACTCCCAGGAGCAGAGTTTACCTTCTCCACAACAAAGCTGAGACTCCCTTAGGACCAGCCCTGGGTTGTCCTCTTCTTTGACCTTTTCTTAAGCACTGCACAGAGCTGAACACAAAGGGGCCTCAGGATGGACCAAAGCTGATGCTGTTGCCTAGGTTACTAGGGAACTCATTGAGGATGAGAGGCTCAGAGCAGGTCAAGAGGACAGTTTGACAACTCAGATGCCCAAGCTCCACCAAGCAATGTGGCAAATACAGAATAGTCACACATACATGTAGGAGGCATATAGGTCTCACACACAGACCTTCACTGCCAGAACTAGGTAGGCTGACCCTGCTACCAGAACTGCTGATAATACAGTTCAACCCTATGTGGGGGAGGGATGTCAGTCTCAAACAGCAAACCTATGGGCAGCATCCTCCAGATTCCAGGCATGAAAGCCTTGACCGTTGCAAGGGAAGCATGTAGGAAATTGAGTCAGCAGACATCTGCTTGGGACTTTAGGAGAGGAAGGCAACTTCTCCCTCATTTGGTCTGGTGGGAGGCAAAGAGGGAGAGCGACTTGTCCAGGATCACCCAACCATGAAGAGGCATAACAAGATCTCTTTCCCAGGGACACACTTCTCATGGGAGACCCTGGAGGCAGTGTTTCTGGAAGGGAGAGGATCTCCCTGCTACACTGTGTGCCAGCAGGTGCAGCCAGCTGAGCCATCTCTGCAGGCTCTTACCTACTAGGTGCCCAGATCCCCAGAAGAAAATGCCTATGGGTCAGATATCCCATCCTCAATCACCTTACTGCCTGGAGTTGTGCTACTCCAGATCTAGCTGTCTCCTTCCAGTCTGGCTTGGAACCTTGCTGGGAAAATTTTGACCCTGACATTTGATCACCTTTCTTACTTTTCTTGGAAAAAACCTCCCAGCCA